CGTATTAATGAAGCTGCTTACGAAGACGGCAACGAAGGTTTTGGAAGTATTGGAAAAGTTGGCAGTGCTTACAACTCGCCTGTTTTCATCAACAACAACGACAGCATTCACATTAATTGCAACTACAATTTCAATGATGATATGGTTAGGCGTTAATCTGGGAAAGCATTAATTAGAGATTAACGATGTCAGTGAAGATGGTTCTAATGCTGATGTGAATATTTATTCAGGACAAAAATTGATGACAGATAATGATTCAAGTTTTGAGATAAAGCCTCTAACTTGCACCTGGAAGAAAAACTTGGTTCTCTTTTACCTGGACGATGACATGAACGATGGCTTCATTGCTGATGAAGATGAGTTTTTCATCGCTGCATCACTGATCAACAGGAAAGATGTCAACGAAGAATCTTACAACATGCATCAAAGATATCCGTCTGGTCATCCTACACCTCGTAAACTCAATAGAAAGAAAGCACTTGCTTCAAGTGACAACAAAATCAACAAAGGACCACGACATCTGCCTATGGCTAGAGGAACCGAAACAACAAAAACGTGGCGTGAACCGAAAAGAAATAACACAGGTTTCAAGAGAAAGACCTGGTTGTCTGGTTGTTCAACGGCGCAAGAAAAGAATATGCCAGGTAAAATTCTCAAAGAATTGGAAATATCGGAACAAGGCCATATACAGGACATATGATCATGGAAGAAAATGGACAAAGATGAAAGTTGTTCGCTTGAATAAATTATTCCCTATTTAATGAAATAAAGTAGTAACACCAGGTTAAAGTGGGGGTAATGTTATAAACGCTGCAATGACCAAATTTATTATTATTTATCTTGATTATTTGTTATCTTTGGATTATAAAGGATCGTAAAAAGAAGCTTGTATAGTAAAAGATCCTGCTGAAACACAGGTTTTCAGTGAGGTTTCTAGCAAGGTTTGAAGCGAAATCATAAATGTGATTCATTTAGTTATTCTTGCGCATACATGACGTATGACGTTGTTTTATCGGCAACGTAAATATTTAAATAAGAGCAGATGTTGAAAATTTTAATTGCTAAGTGCTTACAAATACGAGAGCAATTTAAATGTTTACAAAAATTTAGAAATGTTCAGTTACTATGAATGAAATTGTTAGCAGTTATAAATTTACTGTTCCTCTGGTTGCTGGTGTTTCTAAACAATAAAATTAGATGAAAATGGAATAATTATTTTTGTTTTTATTTTGAGAAATAGAATGGAATGTGTGGACCTCAATAACTAAAAATAACTGCAAAAACATTACTTATACCTTGTTTTCCATTAGTACGCATCAATTAAAGTTTACATATTTTGTATAAGTAATTGAACTGACCTGGCAGTAAAACGACCTTCAACTCCAAAAATTTTACTTAAATAATTTGCCATCTTAGGAGCATAACTGTGCTCACCGAGATCAAATGTATACACTTTTAAATCAGGGTTGTATGTTAGAAAGTTAAAACTTGAATGGCCACCGTTAAAGCCCGTTTCGCAAACGGTTTTTATTGATTTTGATCCAGCTAAGTAATGGAGGAGCATCATTTTTATTGGCACTAACCCTGTATGTCCTTCTATATCGCCATTTTCTTGTTTCAGTGTTTTGTTTAATCTGATATTATTGTTATGAAAAAAAGAAATATAAATTGCGCTTAATATAATTAAACTTAATTAAATATTGTCAACATCATTCTAGCCAAGCACAGCTTTAAATCCTATTATTGTTATAGGTGGTTGCAGTGATTGAATTCAAACGCAGAGATTTATATGACGAAAAAAGTTATTTTCTGCTAATAAGCGGCAAGATAGCGAATGGCTAAAGGCGCA